ATAATTTGCACTTCATAAATAAATATCATTTGGTTGATTCCTTGTTTTCACATCACCTGCTTTTGGGGAGTCGGGATGGAATGCAGAACCACATCCATGGTAGACAAGTGGTGCACCATTGAGCTAGACCCAAACATTTTATTTTATTATGATCCACACATTTGTGTGATAGTCCCCATACACTGACTAGGAAACAGTCTTACAGAAGACTGCGACTTTCTGGAGTCACAGAGCATAAGTAACCTAGCTAGTATGAAGCCCAAGCTAGCTATACCTTCATCAATTTTTCTGCTTTTCCCATCCCAGGGACCCCATAGTCTTACCATAGTAGTGTGAGTTGGCATGTGGGGTTTCTGAGACCTTCACAGAGCTGCTGGACACCATAACTTCCCAGGTCATTCTGCTGCAGGTTCAACTCTTTGAGCTTGGGGCTGGTGTTGAGCACAGAGGCCAGGTCCTGGCAGCAGTTGAATGTTAGGCCACAGCCAAGCAGCCTGCAGGAGAGATACATATGGGCCCATAGTCATTGTCTCCAGGTTTACTACATGGGTACCTTGATCCTGCTTACCTTTCTTATTTGGAGGCATTCTACCTATGCAGACTTGGGAAAATAGTCAATCTTTTGACTCCATGTTGTCATTTTAGAGATAGTGAAGATTAGATATAGGTATGACAGAGTCAGCCTTCCAGGAATTGCTGACCCTTGATATTAAGAAGTTGTTCCACTTGGATTCTTTTCCCAATTTCCTGTCTTATTGACATCTTTGTACATATTTGTTCACTGGAGAGGGAGACAATGGTTCTGCAAAGGGAGTTTTGTGCTTAAAAGGAAGGGAGGTGGAGTCAGGCATGATGGCACATTCCTGTAATCCTAGCACTCGGAAGTCTGATGCAGGAAAATTGTTGTGCATTTGAGATTTACCTGGACTGCTAAGTGAGTGCAAGGCTACCCTGAACTACATAGAGGGACACTGTCCCTCCTCTAAAAATGAAGGATTGAACTGTCAAGTAAGACCAGAGCTGCAGTTATCATCCTTCAGTGCTTGAGCAGAAGTCAAATGGAGAAAATGATGGCAGCTCTCTCCAGTGTGTGTGTGTGTGTGTGTGTGTGTGTGTGTGTGTGTGTGTGTGTGTAACTATGTGCACTGATGCAGAGGCCAGAAAAAATGAAAAAATTAGGGAAATGTGAACAATCCACTCGTGTTTGTCCATGATAAAGGATGTGATTCTGTCATCCAGATGAAGGTTGTAGTGGAAACCTGAGTAAAGTGCACACCAGTGAGTTCATTTAACTGTTTGCCAAGCAAGGTGGCCTGTTATTAGGCAATTGATGGCTGCTGAAGACTTGAGTAAAAGCAAGTTGAAGACTTCTCTGAATACTTCATTCATTTAGTCCTTTGAAAAATTTTAGAAAGTCACTACTTTAACACCTTTCTCTGTGGATATTATAAAATAGGCCATAAAAATTCTACCTCCATTCCAAACTCAGACTGGCACCAATTGTTAGTGATGTCCCTTCAAGAAACAGAGGCTACTGCTCTGCCTTTACAGTGTATATTTTGGTGTCATAGGTTCTGCTTCAACTAATTAGACCATAGCCAAGGAGACTCTATCAGGGGCTTGAGAAGAACTTGGCTTGTTTGCATGCATATGGAGCCTTGTCACCAGATCCCTCTATCCAGGCAGTGGTGAGTTTCCACACAAGCCTCCACAATGCTCTGACTTTTTGTGAGTTCCTCCTACTCCACAAAGTCTGACCACTTTTTGTTCCCCTTTCTTTGTTCTGTGACATTGTCATCTGTCCCTTGAACCTCCCCATGATCTCTGTAAGGTAGTGTCATTTGGAGAGGAACAATTACTTTAGTTTCTGAAGTTTGCAGCTTGGATGTTTCAGACCCTGGCTAAGGTGCTTGACCCCAGAATCTGTTAGCATGTTGAAGTCCAACTCCAGGTCTGTCAGGGTCTGGCTGGTGCTCAGGCCAATATCCAGGTGTGTGCAGCTCTCAGCTGTGAGCCCACAGGCAGCCAACCTGTGAAAACACACAATTATGACTTAGGTGATCAATTTTTGATTAAAAAA